CACACGTCATGGCGCGCGCTAGCGTCGATTTATGAGAAGACACACGAGCCGAAAACATGATTAATTCCGATACACAGTATCGAGCAAATATCGAATCCGCATATCCGCGTTTGTTTGATATCGATAATCATCCCGAGGAGGCGAGATATTAATCTCCAGTAAAAAGGACCGTCGCGATCAAACGGTCGTTTAACACGTCGCCTATGGATTAAATTTTTTTATAACAGCAGATATTTACATGTATCGGTTCAAGAAAATTGAACTCTGGATAGAATTCTCTCAAATATTTTGTATATAGTACAAGTATTTTAAATAAAGTATAAGCATTAGTATCAAGTATTTTATGTAAATAAACTCGTCAATATTCTTATATTTTGATACGTTGTATATGCCAAAATACAAGAAACTTAAATTAAAATTATTAAACTAATATATGAAAATACTGTAGTTATTTTAATTGTAATGGCAGTTTTAATAGTTTTAATTTACAATATTTTGAAAAAAAGATAGAAAGCATGTAATTTAAATTTTTAATGTATAAAAAGTACATTGACATTCATACATTAGATAATCCTAAAGCTCGAGATATGATTCGCGATATGGTTTTATTCAGCCTTAACACATGTTCGTATAATAACGAGCAGAAACAGCGCGTCTATTCTCGGGACACACGAGCGCATTTCCCGTCATCGATGCAAGAGCATGATATATACTTGTGGTACCGGTTTGCGGATCTCAGCCTCTGTATTCAGAGTAACTCTTAGTCCTCCTCCGCTTCCTCCTCTCCTCTCCTTTTCTTTACCTTCTGTTTCGCAATCGCGAGGCCACGATAAGTAATAAAAGCGAGGATAAAATCCTGCAAATACGTTGTAAATCGCTACAAAATAATTGCCAAAGCAGCATCGTTAATAAATTAAATCATGAAAGACATGAAATGTGGTAACGTTGGTGTCATGAACATTCAACTTTTGACTTGGAGTAAAAATTTGATTTTTATCGTATTTTTCCTGAAATTTTGTTATCAGTCATTATCCTGTATTAGTGATATTAAAATTTGTTTAAGTGAAAAGTGTCGACGATGAAGTCGAATGAAAATAATACATTGTTGCATGCATCATAAAGTAGCTATGTATACACCCACGCTGTAGACCTCCCCTGCCAATCTTCTGTCAGTTATATCCTACTCTTTGCTCTACAGTTTCGTTTCTTGTGCAGCATAATCAGTAGCGATTTCATATACTTTCGTTTTGCACATTTTGCATGGATTGTAAATGAAATAGTCATTTTCATAATTGAACAATACAGAAGTTTGAACATAAGAATAGTTAACTTTGATGAATATGAAAAAAATATGATAGCAAATATTAACGTACTTAAGTTATAAACTTTTTTGTACAAATGACATATCACAGAAATTGTTAATTATATGTTTGATAAAAGTTGTCTTTCAATGACATAATTTTTTGCGTTTGAACTACAAATAATGAAATTTTTAAAAATTAAATAATAAAATAAAATAATCGAATCTTCTGGATAATTATCGCATACCAATGTGCTTAATTTTAACCATCCTGGACGAATCATCATTTGGATCGTGGCGAGGACGATCTTCTCAGAATCGCAAAAATCTACGGCGTCTTGCAACGAACGAAACACGATGCGCTATAACGCAAGACAGGCAATAAAATCAAACTCGGGAGGTCCGGACACTTTTATATTCGCAATCTTTAAATTCGCGCAGATATTACAACGCTATGGCCCGCATAAGAAATTTTGTGCGAGAAGAAAAATATATTTTTTTTTCTCTTTATCGTGCTGCCATTGCGCTATGGTATCGCATAATACCACCATTAAACGCGCATCGCGAGACACATGTGCTTGCGCATGTCGAATACACTGATAACTAATGGAAGTTAAAACATGTTCGAAAAACTATTTTCGTTAATTTGCTCAGAAACAAATTAAAATAATTTCTGACACGTTGGCCTTAACGTTCCCAAAACATGCCCGTGCTTATCTGAACTCGTGACCGTCAGGATTACAGGAGAATCCATGGGCATCATCAAGACTTCTAAGAATACGCTTCAAACTTTCTTATTCTCATCTGTTTTCAATTCTCGATATAAATTGTTAAATATGACTTTTTTCTTCATAATTTTATATTTCTTATGTTTTTATATAATTTTATTATTTTTTATAATTATTTATTATACAATTTATATACATCATTTATGTGTTATATATGTGTTATTCTATATGTATTATATTCTTCATATTTTTTTAAATTATAAATATTTTTTTTAATATTTTATAAAATTTCTTTTTAGAAAAATATTTACTTTTTAGACATATTCTTTATCGTATGAAACGTGATGCGCGTACATCTCGCATATCCTTTGCGGCGCCCATGGTTCCTGCCTATGCCTCCTTTCTCCCGTGCATGTCGCTGGGCAATCGCGTAATAAGAGATAAATTAAGCGTTTATGTTCGCGCGCGCGCCGGCGGCGGTCGCTATCTCCTGGATGCGGAGATTCCCCGGCATGTGAGAAGCACGTACGCCTAATTGCCATCGGGATGGCCATCGAGTACGCCTTAACGTTCACAATGTTATACGGCTCATTACGGTCGTCGAGAGTCGAGTGACTCGCTCCCTCCCGTATCCCGCAGCATTCGAGAAACATTCTTTCGGGAGATTCTCCGAATTTTTCCTACTTTGCAAATTTTATCGGCTCGTCAAAAGTCGATTTCTTTTCAGGAATAATTATCATATTTTTTGGCAGATGATCACAGCCTCCGGGAAATGAAACATCAACGTTGTTTCCGCATTTGCATTCTTGAGCGAAACTCATCGTTCAAGTTCGCACGATTAAAGTCACGTAGTTTCTTTAATGATCGCTATCAAAATGTATGGATATAACACATACGAGTATTTCAGATACGAACACCACTAATGGCGAATAAAAAAGCGTTAAAATTATTCCAAGGTTCGCGTAAATAATCACGAAATTCCTTAACTCTGACTCCAAAGGCAACAAATGCAGCTCTCACAAAAACAGATAATGAGAAAGAAGAGCGTTCATTTTTTTTCTGGTGAATATCGCCAGGATTCTCACACGCACAAACGACATGCTCGTTTTCTTTCGAGATTCTCACCTGCGCGTCGATTCTGCTTCTTTTCCGTCGATCGCCGTATCGGTGGCAACGCTTGCCATTGTGTGCAAATGCGCGTCCCAGTCGCGTAATGGTTCCGGCACTATTAGACACGGGACTGCTACATTTGAGCGATAATCTCGCCCCCCCGTGCGCGGATCTTTACGAAGCAGAAAAGCAGGGATCCTGATAAATCGTCGGCTACCGCATAAATATTGTATATTCGTGACGGTGGCTCCTTACCCTGCGCGACTCGTCAAGGTCGCGGTTACAAAGAACTCGAGCATGCAGGTATCTCATTACACTCGCAATAGCCACGTATCTCGTTATATAGATGTTAAATCTATGGCGAATAGTGAGAGGAAATCGATTAAGAACGCGATCGATAAGCTAGTGACTAAAAATCAGAATGGATGATAATTACCTGCGTCCTCTGGGCGTAATTTATGCGCGGACCTGAAACGCCACTGAACGCAACTGGTACATAAATAGCGCGAATGTAGAATGTGCTATGAATAGTCCTTCAAGATTTAGAAGCATTTATTTAAATAATACGCGTAAATACATTTATGTAAAATGATATTTAGAGACAATTAAAATAGTAAATAGGAATATATTTTAATTATTTCTAAATATTTTTGAAATATTTCTAATACGATCTAGATCAAAATCCTGATCTTATGTAGAATTATTGGGAAATTTTTAGATTTTATTATTTCAACTTTAAATGTGTGAATACAATACAAATTTTCTTGTTTCATTCCTCGTGTAATTATGCTCTCTGTACAACCGTTCAAAAATTTCAATCCGCGAGATTCAAGAAGAACAGGAAGTAATGTACCGAGACATGTTCGCGACGAGTTCGCCATAAAAATCTACGAGAATTTTCATTGGGAGAATGGCTGCCTTTGGAGGACTTTACGAGCGATCGCATCGGGATAATTTATAAATCGCGTGGATGCACACCTGCCTATGTCCTTCATCTGTACAAAATGTTGGACGCGTAAAAGCGGTTTATCGGCCCTCGGCGCGGATTCGATGCGAAGCCGACATGATCGCACTGTTGTTCATATTTTGTTCTTCTTCTTTCGAGTGGGAGGCGAAGGGAACAAAGTATTCGCGAGCTTGTTCGATGATTACGTGTATTTAACGACGCCACAAAAGACACAAGAAATGTTATATCCTATAAATGTTACACTCGGACTCTTTACTTGAATTGATGTTACGATAATTTAGATGACGATACGACTTCATTTGCATGTCTTTATTTATTTATTTATATGTTCAACTAATATAAATTGAACATTTAATAAGTTTTCTACTCTCTTTATTATCATTGCTTCCATCGCAGCACAACCTAAGATCTCAATATAAATTTTAATCATAAAATGAAAATATTTGGTAATAAACTACTGTTTATTAAAATACTTTTATTAAGAATTAAAATTATTTTTTTTTAATATTAAAATATAAATAGAATCTATACTATAATAGAAAAATACAGATTAACAAAATTTCCTAAAATGTAAACTTAATTTTTCTGCAGATTTCAGATTCATTGGCAAGCATTTACAAGCATTTACTTTTAAATTCTAATATATTTAATGTCAAAAATTGATAAAATGATTACTGAAAAAAGTAGTCCGTAAATAAATTTTGATAGAAATAAAATTTTTTCAAGACTATATTCTATTTTGAAATTATATTCACTATTCTCTTTATAAAACAAAATAAATATATTTTTTATTTTATTATGAAGTAAATATCTTTCTGCGAACGAAATTGCATACTAAATGATTGTGTGATTTTTCAGGTACTGCTTCAGGCGGCATTAGTTTGGGAGGAGGCATATGGCGCTCCAGCGAGGAAAAACGACATACTTGCCGGTACCGAATTCCTATCGGTCTTCATAAACGGTGCTATGGCGACGCCTCCACCACGACGCCGGGGTTTCCGACCGCGGGGTAATCAACACGCGGCGTCGACATCGGTGGCCGACAGCGTCACTGCCGAGACGCACCAACACGAGGCGTCGATCTATCGAATATCTCGGAATCCGAATGGTGGCCGGCCGATTTCGGTGTCGAGGCCGCAGACGAACGGCCGTGAGGAGGTCGTCCGTTTTTATCCCATAAATCAAAAAACATTGGAGAACCGGCAGCAAAATCTAGCGTCGTTGATCGATGATCTGAGCACGCCAGGCGGCATAAGCTCGACACGTCTGGCATCTTCGAGCGCAGCAACGACGACGATGACGAGCGCACCACCGTCGACCTATCAAGATAGGACGATCTCGAGGTCAAACGAGACCAATGAATCCGTTGCTATCGGCAAAGGTGTCAGTCGACAGAAGGTGATCGGCGTCAGCGTCACGTCCACGGTCGAGGCCACACCATATAAAGTGCGTGTCGAACATTATGACAACGCTGATGCCGCGGTGGTTACGCGACCACCGAGTTTAGAATCCGCGACGAACAGAGAGTTCACTAAGCAATCGACTAGAGAACCAATTAAAAGCACTTCAAGAGATATCAACAGATCGCCAATGCCGTCGTCTATGACAACGACAACAACGACTACAACCACGACGACTACAATGACAACACCAGCGCCATCCGTTCGATTTGTTACCGAGGAGCTCAGTAATATCGTTTCTGAGTCAAACAGAAGCGAATTCTCCGTTGAAGAAGACTCGCCGAACACAAACTGGCGCGGTCGCCATGTAACCATGACACCGCGAATTCAACAGATACCCGCGCTCGCGAAGAATCATCAGGACGAAGTCAATGAGGCAACGCGGATCATCGACGTCGACGCGATCACTCTACCGACGGGGGAGAATTACGAGCTGTCCATAGAAAACTCGGAACGACGGGAGTTGAATGAGGAATTGCCGGAGATGTCGGATCGGCTTCAAGGACGCAAGATGGGACGTCACTATGACACGTCACTCTACAATCGGTCAGGCCCGAAGACATACAGCCAGTCGTCGAAGACGTACAAACCTCGTACCTACAACGAGCCAGCCAAGATATATAGCGAACCGGCAAAGGTGTATGGCGAACCCGAGCGTGTGTATGGAGAACCGGCTAAAGTGTACAGCGAGCCAGCCAAGGTTTACAGCGAACCAGCCAAAGTCTATAGCGAACCCGCGAAGGTTTACAGCGAGCCCGCTAAAGTCTACGGCGAGCCGGAAAAGATCTACTCCGAACCATCCAAGATCTACTCGGAACCGGCTAAAATTTATTCGGAACCGGCCAAAGTTTACTCGCAACCGGCTAAAGTGTACAGCGAACCCAGCAAGGTGTATGATTCTGAAGGTCTTCCAATCGATCGTCAGCAACAAAGTGGTGAACCCGATGAGCAGAATTACGAGATCGACGAATCAGTCAGCGTCGGTAGCAATGGCAACGTTCACGGGCCGCAATTAGTCGTCACGGAAGAAACTCCAGGTGCATCCGAGGTCGAGGATGGTCATAAGGTCGGCTACGTCGTGGAGGGCAGGAACTATAGGAAGTACAGAGTTGAGGAGAGGACGCCGGATGGCTTTATCGTGGGCGAGTACGGCGTCGTCAGTCATGATGACGGTTCGTTACGTGGCGTCAGATATACTGCCGATGGTACTATCAATCCTCAGCTCATTTACGACGCCTTGATGAAGTTCCTCGCTTTGTGAGCACCGCGATAATGAAGAAAAGTGACAGGAAGAAAGACGAATCGACGAATCGTCGCCGATACTGAAGACAGCGAAAAAGTCGCGCAACGTTGCTGGACCAATTTCTCCATTTATAGCGTTGCTTATTTTAAAAATAGAAAAATAATTCTGTTACAATTATGATCTGTTGCATTATTTAAGCGATATTTCCATTGTAATCATCTCCTAAACAACAGACTGATTTTTAATATAGCCAACGATATAAAAAATCCATGGCGATATTATGGAAACAATTATTATTTTTTTTTCTTCAGGAAGAAATCAATCGTGCGATAACAGCAAGTCGGCAAGTTGTGAATCTCTTCGATGGCTTCGGCGACGTTGTCGATGACACGAATACACGACTGATTCTTTTGCTCTTGCCAACTCAACTGCCTCAACAATTAATTTTAAGGACGATGCAATTTAGGATCTAAGGAAAAGCTCATTCGACTAAGGCGACCTGCGCGACTAAGGCAGTCCGAGAATCGAAAGGTCGACCGGAACCAACGCACGAAAGTCAAATCTCGATGCTCAGTCATTGCGAAACAGATGACAGATGAAAGTTACTCTTTTGGCAGCGAAAGTACGAACTTGTGCAGTGCTACTCGATGGCCTTTGACGACTGTGGTAACCGATCAAAGTGGTTGTCGAACGTTTTTCTTACGAGCTATTCTTAAGAACCTTTGAAGTGAGAACACGACTACTTGCGAGCCACTAAAAATGTATCTCGATGCGTAAAAACTAGCGCCTACGTGCACAACACGTATCGGCTTGGACGATTTTTAATATAATATTGACAATGTAAAAGTAATTAGTAATTTTTGCAAATTTCAAATGGCATTTATCTTTGTCTGAGGACACAATAAGAAATTTATATCTGTCGCTATTATAGTTATAAGATAAAATATAATGGATTATGGAAATCGTGCTCGACGGAATTCAAAATGTTGAAGAGATGTCCGATGCGATCCGATGCGCAGCTCGAGATTGATTTTAAGCTTACACTGACAATAAGTCCCATATGCGCAATATCCATACGTGTCTTTGCAACTAAATATCTCATATTAAATGAAATTCTATACCCACCTTTGTACACTCGAAATCCTCCGACTTGAGAATGTACTCGCGACAGACCCTCGATCCTTGATCTCTGATCTTTGATCTCTGCTAAGAAAATTTCAAATCAGATTCACGGAGACTTGGATCCCAAATATTTTAGTTGCAGTAAATATCTTGGCTAGAAATGTTTTAACACGCAAAAGAACTTGTGTTTAACACAAAAATAATTCCTCATATTTTTCCGTATATCGCTGATCTTTCTGTCAACTTTTTGGAAATAAAAATCAGAGATCGATCGATCGATCAATCTCAATGACACAATAATAATAATATAGTAAGTCTTTTTTTATATATCGAAAAAATGTTAGTGTCATGAGATCTGTATTGAGATCAGATTAATTTAATCGCCGAAGGGGATTTAACAAATTATTCGCTATAGTTAACGCTGGAACATTTGGAATTTTCTTTTAACGCTTTTAACCTAAAAAAAATTTACGTATACAATACGATTCAGATTTATTTAATTGCCTTGTACTTTAATAATATTTAAACAAAATTTTTTATCACGAGATACGTTATCACGGATGAATGAACCGCATCTGAATGTTCTAATGTTGACAGCTTCCGAAATCATTGACTGAGAGTCCCCTTTGTGCGCTTTTATCGCGGTCACGCTTCTGCGATGAAGAAGTAGATGAAGAAGTTGCAACTGCCAGGGCCCCCATTCGAAAATAATCGACAGCCCCTAAATTAACTAGCGGGCCCCGCAGTTGCGATGGACGGACCGACTTGTCGCGGCAGCGTCTCTACGCGTATCCTAGCTCTATAAGTTCCCTAGATTTTAAGGCTGATAAAGGAAATATCTCAATCAGCGAGAAGACTTGTTTTTTCTTCGCAGCGTCAATTATTTTATTTAGCAATTACAACTAGCTCATTCTTTCACATTACCTCACTCCTTTGAGATAGTTCCTCTCGCCACGCAATATCGAGCGAGCACATTCATATCCTAAGCGCGAGTAACACTTCGTGAAACTTCGCGAGAAATATATATGGAATATTCTAAAATCGTATTTGCTTTTCGTATAAAGGAGCGATTACGGGAAGGTAAGTTTCGAGTTGATCGACGAAATACAACAAAAATGAAGATGAAAGCGGCGGCGGTTAGTCTCTGGGCTGTCGACAGATATCTACTCGCGTATTGCTCACATTCTATGTAGACTATAAAAGTCTTGATTTTATTCTACTGTATTCTCTCGTATGTACATTTCTAAAATATTTCAATATGTTACAGACGATATCTATAAGAACTCTCTCTCGTATAAGGCATGCATTTTAGATAATATTTACTATAAAAGTACTATGTAGCGCTGTGCAAGCCATCGCCATTTTTCAACAGCAACTTTGTAATAAATCCATTGCCATAAACAAAGCATTCCGATTATTATGACCTGAGCCTAAGCAATTTATTAACATAATTTTAACTTTTTTCTAATAAACTCAATTTTAATATATTTTTATTAATTACATTTTAATGTTACATAAATATATATATATTTATTAGACAGATAAATTTTAAAGAAAATTTTAAAAATAGTTTACAACCGAAATCATCAAACCAAAATGCAGGAATTGTAACGTGGTTACATTAATCTATAAAAGACAAATATGTTCAAAGTATAACAGTGTTCAAAATAACTGATTAAATTAATCTTGTGAAATACATGTTATTTTACTAAAAGTAGGTTTAGAGTTATTAATGCGTTTAATGCGTAAGATTATAGTAATTAATTAAGCAGCTGTTTAAACGCGGAAACTCGATTGAATTGATAGGGAGCCTAAGGATAATAAAAAAATATCAAGGGCTTCTGCTTTTTGTAAATATCGCGGCTCATGATTCTCTTTTTACAATCTAATGATCGCACTAATAATACTTCTCGTATAAATCACGCAATAATAACACTGTAATCAATGCTCGAACGAACCTGAAGGCGGGACGACATTAATAATAGCTCCTGTCGAGATGCTTTCAATAAAAAAATATATTGACAGTTCAACGATTCTTTGCAGTAATTTTCATTACAAGTTCTGCTTTTTTATAATTAAAGAAAAGATCTTACAGATTAATTTTAATTATTAAAAAGATCAAAAAAGTAAAAAGTAAAAAGTAAAAAAGTCAATAACTTCAGATAATAAAATTTTAAGAAAGTTAATTATAAATCATCTTAAATGGATAGATGTATTGGATAGATGTAATCTATCTCAAAATAACTTTTATTGTGTTAAAATTTTAAATTTTTCAGATATTTAAGAAATTGACTTGATTAATTCTCTGAATAAAAAAAAATTAAGTTTACATCTTGGTCTTTTAAAAATCTTTTTAAAAATTGCGGTTAAGCAACTTTGTTGTTTCAGTCATAAATTCGATAGTTATTAAGATATGAATCATTTCATCAATTCTCTGAATCATTAAAATATACACACACACACACACACACACACACACACACACACACACACACACACACACACACACACACAT